CAGCAGGTGGGCCCTCCACCCCCGTCAGGGCCAGCCCTCCCACACCTCTGCTCACCCTTGGACGCCTTTCTTGGGGGGCTTGCTCTTGAACTGCCTGGTTTGCCGCTGCTTAAATTTGGGGGGCCCTTTCCTGGGAGTGACGGGCCCCCCAATCACCCTGGTGGCTGGCCGGATCTCGGCCTTGGGCGGCTCCAGGTTCATGGCCAGGCTGGCAGAGACCCCGCGGTGACCTTCGGCTTCTGGACTCCCTCACGCTGTGGGCCCTCCTGCTTCCGACCCACCTCTGAGGTCTCAACCCACCAGAGCAGAGGAAACCCTGAAACATGAGACCCACCGGTCCCCAGTATGACTCAAACAGCAGCCCCCTGTCCCAGGGGGCCCCAGGCAGGGGCTGAGAGTGCTGGGTGGCCCCCCGGTGTGCCCCTCCTCACTGCCTCCCCCTTCTCCTGCATTCCCCAAACCAATCCCTGGGGTGGGACACTTGGCCTCATTCATGGTGGCATGTTAGGCACCTAGCGGTGCCAATAACGGTAACCCGAGAAATGGGAGGGCAGGGTGCCCGGGCAGGGGAGGGGCCTGTGTCACCATGAAACGCCCAGGCGAGCTGTGTAGCCCTGGCCCCAGCAGCGTCTTCCCTCTGCTGGTAAATACCCTACCTCCCCCATCCCACCCCCCACCCCGCCCCAGCCACTCACTGGGCACCAGCATCACCTGCTGGTGTCCTTGAACCCACTGCACAGGGTGACCTCCCCTCCTCCTCTCCCCCGGAGTCCCCCCCTCAAGGCCCTAAGCCCTGGTGACCTAGGCCAGGGGCAGCTCACCTTCCTCTAAGCCTATTAGCACCAGAGGGAGACCCTAATTCCTCAGGGTCCACTATAAGCCCAGAAAGTTCTGGGGCTAAGTACATGATGCAGAGAGGAGCCGCTGCCCTGGCACTGGATGCCTCAGGCACCACTTCTTGAGTCCTGTTTCTTGCCCCCCCTCCCCACTTGTGGGCTGCAATGTCTGACTCCAGCCTGGGGCCACCGCTAGCTGCCTGCTAGAGTATCAGGGGCTGAGATCAACCAGGAGGCAAGAACAGGTGGCTCTACCAGCGAGGAAGGCCTGGTTGTAGCTGCCGGGGCACCTGGGATTCGGTGGACCCCACTGTGGACCTTCCTTCCCTAAGGTTCGGTCTCTGTGCCGGGACCAGCAGCAGCCTGAGAGGAACCAGGGGACAGGAGCTGGATCTACACGGGGTCCAAGTTGGACAGCAGCAGGTCTGGTGGCCCCGGCTGCTCAAACCCCACAACACCCACTCCTCACAGCCTAGGTAGTGTAGGCCCAGCTGGACCCCTTCTCTAGTCCCAGGCCACTGGCCTGGCGTGGGCAGCCCTGAGCCCTGATAGAGAGCCGACTATCAGATGCTGTCCCCATGGCAACCGCTGCTCAAGTTGCCCTGGCCCTAGCCTGGCCTGTGGCTGGTGCCCACTCAGGTTGGCTGACTGGGTGTGGCCTGAGGCTCCGAGACCATTGCTAGCCTGGGGGACAGCCTGCACCACTATTTGGCACGAGGAACAGAGGAGGTGATGGGCTGGGTGTCCTCTCTGAACAGGGCAGTAGGTGGCCTCCCCCAGACCCAGACCTCAGGATGGTGGTGAAAATCCCGCCCACTCCTCACCCTCTGGGCAGATACCCACTAACGCCCTTGGGTAAGTGGCCACCAGAAAAAGCAACCTGGGAAGGTCATTACTCACCAAGTACCGGGGCAGGTCTCAGGGGACCATGCGTGTGAGTGGCAGGCCTCCCTTAGGCAGGGTGCTGGCTGGGCATTTATCCTGCAGCTGGGTAATCTGATTAGGACTGTGCCTTGACACCACACTAATGAGATTGTGGGGTGGGTAGCAGCACCGAGGACTCCCCGAGATGGGGGATGGGGCTCAGGTGCAGTCAAGGGCCTGAAGGAAGGACGAGCAGGGGGCAGGGTCAGGGCAGGAACAGGATGTGTGACCATGAACAGCCAGACTCTCCTGAAGCTTTTTTTTTTTTTTTTTTGCGGTACGTGGGCCTCTCACCACTGTGGCCTCTCCCGTTGTGGAGCACAGGCTCCGGACGTGCAGGCTCAGCGGCCATGGCTCACGGGCCTAGCTGCTCCGTGGCATGTGGGATCTTCCTGGTCCGGGGCATGAACCCATGTCCCCTGCATCGGCAGGTGGACTCTCAACCACTGCACCACCAGGGAAGCCCGAAGCTGCTCATTTTTGAAGCAAGGATGAGACGGCACTGGCTGCTGTCTTAGGCCTCCCCACCCTTACTGTCCTGACTGCTGAGGAACCTGCCTTTGTGGCCCCCAAAGCCCTGTATAGCCTGTCCCGATCCACTTCTTTGGCCTCACCTCTCATCCCTTCCTCTTGCTCTCTGTGCTCCAAGGAGCCTCTTCCACCCCAGGGCCTTTGCACCTACTGCTCATGCCATATGGTGCATTTTCTATTGTACATCTCTCCCCTTCCCCTAGTTCCCTCCTCCTGGGACTTCAAAGATCTGCCCCAGTATCATACACACATAGAAAATCTTTCACAAATATGTGTTTTCGAAAAAAATACAGTAAACCTCTTCCTACATCTCTGAGGTAACCCACCTCCATGTTGTAGACCCCTTCGGGGGCCCCAAGCCCACTAGGCTCTGCTGTGCTTTTGTCTCTAGGGAAATCTTTCTCTTCCTGGGCCATTTTCAAATCTGTAGGACAGGGTTGGAGTAGATGCTCTCTGACATAAAGTGTAACAAACATGTATTGCTATAATCATGTTTCTCTGAACCAACCAAAACTGCTTCTGGATGACATCACTAGCTGGCCAAGACAGCCTGCACTACCGTGTGTATCCCCAGGCATTAGCATGGCAGCACGTTTTGTGTCTGTGTGGTTTCATTCTCTCGTCCACAGATCTGTCTCTGTGGGAAACTCTGGCTTTACATTGAAGGCCCCTACCTGGGAAGGCCTGCTTATCAGCTCAAATTCTTTGTGAAGCCTTATAACAACACAAGCTTTTCCCTTAAATGAGAGAAGATAAAACAGGCATAAATTCATTTAACCCTGTCTGTCCAGGCCACTGGTATCAGAGCTTGAAAGCCTGCAGCTGGATGAATGGGGCACATTCCAGGCCATCTGTGGGCATTTGTGCCTGCCAGAGCTTTGCTAACAGCAACCTCTCAGGACCGGATGGTCCTCCCTCTGCTGTACCACTGAGAGTAACCAGAGCTGACCTCTGGGACTTCTGGGATGCTGGGACATAGAAGGGGGCCCCTGGGGTCACTGTCACTTGAATAGTCAAGGAAACAGGTTTAGCCAACCTCACAGGTTGGTGAAGGCTGTAGGTGCCCAGTGGACATACAATGACATCTGCACGTGCTTTCCTTGAGGTGATACACGCCTATGGATGACAACACAAAAGCCTCCTGTCTAACCACCACACAGAGCTTATTTATTCTCAGGCAAAGTCAATAAACAATCCCGTCGACACCAGCACCAGCTGCACAAAGGGGCCGTGGATAAAGGAGGCTGTGCTGCATCCTGAGGAGGAGTCTGTCGGGGTGAGGCTGTCTGGCCAGGCGGCTCAGCTTCCACTCCTCACACGGAGCTGGATCTCCATCCGGAGGAAGGCCTTGAGGTTCTCATCAGCCACGTGCTCCTCCAGGGCGGCCAGGGCCCGCTCCCCGCCGTCCTGGTAGTGCTGCAGCAGTGCGTCTGCGTATTCCACCCACACGCAGTTGGGGCAGCCGCTCATGCAGCAGTTGGTGGGGGGCTGGAGCTCAGGGGGTGGCGGGTACAGGGGTTCTGAGGGGCCCCCACCAGGCAGGGAGGACTCGGGCTGCCCAGTGCCCGCTGCACCTGCTTGGGAGCCCCCCTCCACATGGTCCTTCCTGAACTCTCTGTGGCCTTCACGGACTCGGATCCTGTGAAGAATGCTGCCACCTCCAGGAAGCCTTTGGCCCCAGTCCCAGCTGGATAGTGGCCCCTAAGGATTCAGATAAGCACATGAGTCTCCAGGAAGCTGGTAAGGCTCTGCCTGCCTCCAGCTCTGGGGAAATTTCGGCCTCCTGTCACTGGCAGGGGGCTCCACGTCTTTCTCAGTTTCCTCACTTCCTGCGTAACCTTAGACAAGTTACTTCACCTATAGACTCAGTTTCCCATTTGTAAAATGGATGTAACGCTTAGTACGAGGATGAGCCACCGGTTCATGAGAAATGCGGGTTCAAGGCCTCGCACTAGGCGTGCCCTCCAGCAGATGGTGGGGGTTGAGACTGCGCCTCCAGCTATGATGGCTCCGCCCGGTGGACAGGAGTATGGCGAGGGCGGAAGCCTGTGAGCTCCAGCCCACACAGCCACCTCTCCCTCTCCAACCAGTACTGCCACGGCCCTCCCCCGTGAGCATTCTGAATAATCGCGTCACCCCTTCATTCCTGTTTCTCTCTGTCACATGAGAAGCCCAAGTCATTCCCAAAGGCCAGTGGGCAGCCCTCTCCCCACCTCCAGCCCCCACCCCAGCCCCCGGGTCCCCTTCCCTGCTCTGTCTCCAGGGCACTGAACACAGGCGCAAACTTTACTTATTTCTCTAACTCCTCTTGCGAGGGGCGCCAACTCCTTGTTCACTGAGGTTTCCCCAAAGGCTTCGCACAAAGCAGGTGTTCAACAGGTACTGGACGAGGGAACGAGCTCAGAACCCGCCGGCGCTACCCTGGGCTCTGCCCGGCTGCCGGGAGAGCGGGGCTTCTCGGCCCCAGCGGGGCCCGGCCTCCCGAACGCACCCCGTCCCCGTCCTCGCCGGTACTTGCCAGGCCGCGGGCAGCGACTGACACCGCGAGGCCTCCCCGGGCCACACTCCACAGCAGCATCGCCCACTGCCTGGCCCACGGCGCAGGCGCCCCCCAGTCGGCCCCGCCCGAGATGTGAATGGCGGCCGTTCTGGCCAATCCCGGCCCGTCAGGGAGCTGCACAGCCCCAGTGAGATCAGGAAGCGGAAATGGCGGGCATGGGGCCGGACCGTGCGGGAGTGCGAAAGTGGTTTCTCCTTTGAGCGCAGGGCGTGTAGATGGCGGGAACCCGGCGCCGAGCTGGGGCGCCGGCGAGGATGGCGGGGAAGGCTGGGCTAGGGAGCCCAGGGCGACCGCAGGGCCGGAGGCAGCAGGAGCCGGGGAAGCAGCGCTCGGCGTCACGGCTGGGGCCGCGCAGGTGGGTGCCGGTCTCATCGTCCTGAAGACTCCCCGGCACCCCTCCCCGCACCGGGCCAAGCGCGCTGTGTGGTCCGTGCGGTGGGCGGCCCGGAGGGTCAGCCGGGTGGGCGGAGGCGTGAGGGAGTCTCCGGTGTGGCACTTGTCACCTTCCGGGGCGCCGTCTTTGCTATCCTGGACGAGGTCAGGGAGCGACGGGCCTCCCTGGGGCTCTCGGAGCGCCCCCCACCCAGCGTCCTGTGAGAAACCGGTCCAGGGACAGCCTCCGGGCGGGCGAGGATGAGGCCGTGTTCCCTTGACCGGCACGCACTACAGCGGCCAGGGTGGCCTGCGAAGTTTCTTTCTCCAGGCTCAGCTTCAGTTTCTCTGATTCTGCTTATGCTCGATTGGAGACGTGTCTCACCCCCGTGTTCTCCTTCCCAGCAAAGAAAAGAAGAAAGTGAATTGCAAGCCTAAGAACCAAGATGAACAGGAAATCCCTTTCCGGCTCCGAGAGATCATGAGGAGCCGCCAGGAGATGAAAAACCCCATCAGTAACAAGAAGAGGAAGAAAGAGGGTAACTGCAGGCCCATGCTGGGTGGCCATAAAGCCTTGCGTGTTTGAATCTACTTAATTGCACAAGTATTCAGTGGCGTTTCAGGCAGAAGAAATCTGCCAGACCCCAGCAGTCAGGCGGTGCAGGAGCTTGTGGAGGACTGACCAAAGGCTGGTGTCACCAGGGCCAGAGTGGTGGCTGGCAGCAGGTGGCGGTGTGGTTTCAGGTGAGGCTCCAAAAGGAGCCCCTGGGGCCTCATGGGCCAAGGTGGAAGTGTTGATTTTCCCCTCCCAGGAGTAGTGGAGATCCATCAGAGGGGACGGTCAGTTCAGATTTACTTGAAGGAAAGGTCACTGTGTAACAGTCGAGGGGGCGAGAGGACACTGCAGGCCAGCGAGGCTCTTGCAAGTAAGAAATGATGGTTCCTTGGACCTGAGTGCAGAAATCATGGTGGAGAGAAGTGTATGGTTTCTAGAGGTTACGGAGGGAGTTGATCAGACCCCCTGAGAAACTCATCCCTCCCACCCTTCCCCCAAGGCCAGGTAGGGTGCCCAGCTGTCAGCCTCTGCCAGAGATAACACTCCAGATGTTGGGGAATGGGGTCCAGAGTGTTTTTGTTTTGTGTACACGTACAGGTACTTGTTTTCCCAAACATGGGACTGATTTTTCAGCAATGCTGTTTTGTAATTTCTTTGTCAACCTTAGGCTTTTCATTGGGGGTTAGATGGCTACCAAAGCGATAGTGAAATAAAAGAGTTGAGGAGGGGGAGGGGTAGAGGAGGGTGCGGGCCCAGATGGAAGATGGCACATTCTGAACCATGCTCTATTGAATCAGCTCTTTTTGGGGTTTAAGTTATTTAAAAGACATAAACTTACACACGTGGTGAAATCAAACAGTACTGAAAGATACGAGGTGAGGCGTGGCCTCCTTCCCTGTCTTTCAATCCTGCTCTCTCCCCCTAAAAGAAACTGCTGTCTGTCCGTCTTGTTTACCCTCCCAGGGGAAATATGCATATTTTCACATATTTATGAGGTAAAAGCTATACCTTCATTCTCTATATTGTTTGGTGTCCTGGGTTTTCACTACCAGTGGATTTTGTAGGTCTTTTCGTGTCCTTATCGTAGCTCTACCGAGCTCTCAGCAGCTGTGCAGTGACGTCTCTGGATGAACATAGGGGGATTCATTCAGCCAGTCAGCTAGTGACGGATACTTAGGTTGTTTCCTGTTTCCTTTTTCAACCGAGCTGCAGAGGACATCTTTGACATGTACCAGTGGGCTGTAGGGGTCCCACCCCAGGTTCCCCCCAGCTGGCATCTTAGATCCTCTTTAGCTCCTACGTGAGCCTGGTCTTCCCGTCCCGTGGCCAGGGGAGGGGAGATGAACATGGGCGGCCAGCCAAGCGCCACCTGCTCCCTCCTGCCTTCACTTCACGACTTTCCCCTCTGAGGTCTCCCTTTGTCCTCAGCCCAGGTGGCCTTCAGTAAGACATTGGAGAAGGAAGCAAAGGGAGTGGAGCCGGACATCGCTGTACCCAAGTTCGAGCAGAAGAAGTGGGAGTCCGACAGGGCCTATGTGCAGCGCATGGCGCAGGAGGCGCAGCACGTGCTGTTCCTCAGCAAGAACCAGGCCAGCCGGCAGCCTGAGGTGCAGGCGGCTCCCAAGAAGGGGAAGTCGGAGAGGAAGAAAGCGTGAGTGGGGGCTTCAGGGGCTGGGAGGCAGGGCTGTGGGGTGCCACCATTTCTTCTGCATTGACAGCATCTTGTTGCCAGGGGGCACCCCACCTACCCCATGATTCAGGCCGAGCAGGACCTGGAGTCAGTGGGTGTTTTTCTCTGTACCGCAGCCACTTAACCTCAGCGCTTCTGGAAGGCTCTGAACCCACAGAGCTCCGAAGGCCTAGCTCTGTCTGTGCCTCTCTCTGGAAAGCATCAAGGTGTCCAAGAGCCAAGGGAGGTTGAGGGCCAGCTGTCTACCCCAGGCCAGTTGTTTCAGGGAAGTAGAAAAACAGTGAGGCTCAGTGTCCTCCCAGAAGGGCCCACAGGCCGTCAGGGGACTGTGCCTACCCCACGGAAACTGGTTTCCAGGGTTCACCTTTCCAGCGCAAAAGATATTTGAGAGCCTGTAGCTATGTCATTTGTACAAGTTCTGTGACCTCTCAGACTCAGCTTCCTGGTGGGTAAAGTGGTGAAATTGGCACCAGGAGGAAGCCCACCGCCAGCTGCGGCTCCCCTGCCCATCCCTACCCTCAGCCCTGGAGAAGTCTGGGATGTAAGCTGTGTGCCACCTCCCTGAGCCTGTGGGTGGGAGCTGGGGCAGTAGTTTCAGCAAACAAATGCTTTTTGAGATGTGTTTCTGCCTTTACTGCAACTTTTGTCATGAATCAAGCCAGGCTTTCATCAGAAATTTCTCTAAAACTGGGCACTTCCTTGGTGGTCCAGGGGCTAAGACTCCAAGTTTCTGCTTCATGGGGCGTGGATTCGATCCCTGGTTGGGGAACTAAGATCCTGCATGCCATGCGGTGTGGCCTAAATTAAAAAAAAAAAAGAAGAAGAAATTCTTTTAAAAGCTGTGAAAGTTAGATCGTTTTCAGCTTTGTAGAGTTTCCTTATGTCCAGATTCTTATCATACATGTACTTACGTTAGCCAGTGAAAATTACATCACACAAAACATATCCCAGGTGCCACCTAAAGCCACAGTGATCTCTAAAACTCATTGAACGTTGATTCTAGTAACAATAAGGGACCATGTCACACATGCTGCTGTGCGGGGCCGTTTACACACAGCAGCACAGTTGACACTTGGGACAGCTGATTCTCTGGGGTGGGGGCCATTCTGTGCACTGTAGGGCGTTGAGCAGCATTCCTGACCTCCACCCATGAGGTGCCAGGAGCACCCCTCTCCCCCCGACGTTGTGACAACACAGAACATCTCCAGACATTGTCCGATGGGCTGTAGAGGTACAGCCACAGCCGCTGAGGACCCCTGACTTGGAACTTTGGAGGGACCTCCTGGGTTCGGAGCACTCTCTGTGGGTCCTGGGGTTCAGAGGCAGCCACCTGGGGTCTTTCCTGATGCATCCCTTGTGGGCAGGGGTGACCTCTGCCTCTTCCTGAGTCCAGTGAAATGAGAGCTTAGGAAAGTGAACAGCACTGTGCTCTCTTCCCAGGTTCCAGAAGCGACGGCTGGTTAAGGTCCAGCAGAGGAGGGAGGAAAAGGCAGCAGAAAGGCTGGAGCAGGAGCTACTCCGAGGTAGCTCTTCACAAAGCAATTGTGTCAGCCCTGGTTCGGGGCAGTTTTGTCTCCCCAGGGTCGGTGGGTGGGTGGACAGTGGCTCCGGGTTCCAGGGCTGCAGTGGTTGTGTGGGCGGCAGGCCTCAGTTGTTCTTCTCTGCCCCTCCAGACACGGTGAAGTTTGGTGAGGTTGCCCTGCAGCCCCCAGAGCTGACTGCCAAGCCCAGGATGAGCACAAACAGGGACCAGGTAAGCAGGGGTGGGGGAGTTGCCCTTTTTGCCCCTCGGTGCTGCCTGGTTCAGGGCACACCGGTGGAGAGCACCGTGTTCTCACTGGGGCTGGCCTAGGCTCTTTGTGGCCTCCCCTCCTTCCTGAGTCTGTGCCTCGACCTCCCTCTCCCTCCCTCAGCCTGGCAAGAAGTCGCTGATGCTGAAGATGCTTTTATGCCCTGGCGGTGTGTCCCAGCCTCTGACCTCCTCTCCGGCCAGACAGCGGATCATGGCGGAGGAGAGAGAGCGGGCTGTGAACGCCTACAGGGCGCTAAAGAAACTGCAGCAGCAGCGGCAGGGGGCTCAGTCACCACAGCCACCCCACCTCCGTTCTGGGAAGAGACCAAAGACTCAGCTGTGATGGTGAGGGACCAGAGACGCTGCACCTGGGTTGGGGGTAGATGGGCAGATGGCCCGCAGTCAAGAGTCCTCTCCCTGGCACACATCCTAGGACTCAAGTGGGGGAGAGGGCTCCTGTTTTTTCTCCCTAAAGACTGCTGTTTCGTGAGTGACCACCCGCCGGCCCCATGTCTCACACAGGGCGTCGTCTGTCTCCTGAGCCTCCAGAGATGGGGCCAGTGCCTGGGTGAGATGCAGCCAGCATCATTCCCTTGAGCCTAGTGTCACATACAGCTTTGTTCTGAAACAGAGGTCCAGGCTGAGACACAACCTAGGGCCACTTTACAGAGGGCCAATCCCATAATCCTGTCCCTAGATACCAGTTAGTTGTAGACACTGCCGATTTCGGTTAACTAAATCTATAAGCGAGGCTCTGCTGGATTCGACAGAGCAGTACAGCTAGAGCGGGAGCCAGGCAGCAGGTTGGTGTGGGGAACGGGCGGGGATCGGCATCTAGGCCACCTAGACCAGCTCACGGCACTGCTGTCACAGTCCTCGCAGGGCAGGTGGAGCCACCCCAGCTCATGTTTGGGTGTGGAGACTGAGCCACCCACATCGAGGTTTGGGGAGGCTGGGTCCTTATGTCATCGAGGTCTCTGGGGAGGACAGGGCAGGGCTCTCCAGCAGGTCTAGAGTGGCTTGACAGCAAGGACAGGAGCCTAGCCCAGGACTTTCTTGTGGTCAGAGGGGCCGTGTGAGTTCCTGCCAAGGGCAGGGCCCGGCGAGGTTTGAATCTCCCACAGGTGCCAAAGGAGGGAGCACCTGGGTTTATCATCTTGCTCAGATGTGGGATACAAGCAAGAGAATGGGGATGGGGCTTACACACTGTTAGCAATTGAACATGGAAGGACAGGGGCAGGCCACTCATAGCCCCGTTGGAGAAGGACAGCTGCCGGGCTCCCTCACTCTCTCCAGCTTGGGCTTCTCTAGCCAGCAAAGATGGCCTGGACAGCTCAGTCAGCGCCAGGCCTCAGCACTGACAATCCTAGAGAATGAGTGGAGTTCTGTGGAATCTGTTTTGCTCTTCCCCAAGTTTGCATTTTATGTAATGAAGTTTATTTTTTTGTTTTGTTTTTTTTGCGGTACGCGGGCCTCTCACTGTTGTGGCCTCTCCTGTTGCAAAGTTTATTTTTGGATTAAAAAATTTAAGTTGTGGAAGCTCTACCTGGAATCAGGGCTGGCACTCTTTCAGGGGTGTGTTTCTGCATGGCGGGTGGCCCCGGCCCCTGCATGGGATGACCAGGCGCTGGTTGCCATGCAGTAGCCAGGACTTGCCCCCATCACATGGCAGTTGGGGCAGGCAGCACATCTCTGGTTCAATGTTGGCATCCTTCTGACAATAGGGTCCCAAGACAGGCAGGGCAGCAAGAGCAAGGGGTGAGGTGGGGTCGCTGAGAAACACCGGTGTTTCTTGGATACAGTGCAAGTACAGTATGAATGTGGCAATGAGGAAACAGGTCGTGGTGAGGGAAGTTTGCCTTTGGTCACATGAAATGTGAAAATTACATTCCCTCAGGCCCTTGTCAGAGTGCCCCTAAAACTGGTCAACTTAGCTCAGGCTGGCTTTACCATCAGAGATGTCACCAGGCCCAATCTCACCCATCAGAGATACTGACTAGGCCAGGGGTCACCCCTCGGATATGGACCCACAAGCTGGGTATCACCCCTCAGAAATGGAGCCCACACTCGGGTCATCCCTAGAGACAGAACACAGGTAGGATCAGCCATCAAGACACTCAGCCCGGGTTAAAGGTGTTGACCTTAAGAATGGCATAAGGTCTTTAGCCAAAATGAGTTTATTCGGAATCAGAAGAATTTCAGTTTAGGACAAGCAAACTGGCAAGTTGGAGGAGACAAATGGAAGGTCAGCTTTTATTAGGTTTTAGGAGGAAAGGAGGAAATTAGGAGGGCCCTGGTGGTTTTCTGTTGGCTGCAATCAGTGGGTAGCTTGTCACTGGGCCAGACAGAGACCTTCCTTCCTGCTGGGTCTGTGAGCTGTGGTGAGAGATGCATGCTTGAGAGCCCTCCCATCATAGCTTCCCTGCCCCATTCTGATTGAGCTTTCCTTTGCTCATTTCCACATTCCCCCCTTTAGATGAAGATCTTTCCTTGAGAGCATCACTGATCAGTTTTAGTGGAATTGTGTTTTGTCCCTCAGCACCAGGACCTTTCCTGGACGTCATGTCTCACATCAGAGGAAAAGGGCATAGTGATTGAAACCAAGTGAGCCCACATTTGAGTAACAAAGAAGGAGGAACTCTCAGCCATTTTCACTCTTAAAATCGTGTCTTTCACTCTTAAAATCGTGTCTTATGAAGGTACAGGCATGGGCAGTCATCTCAAGGCATTGAGCCAACATCATACTATTCATTGTGTCATTTCTACAGGGGGTTGACAGGCAACATGTACAAAGTTTAAAAATGGGGAATTCCCTGGTGGTCCAGTGGTTAGGGCTCTGTGCTTTCACTGCCAGAGGCCCAGGTTCAATCCCTGGTTGGGGAACTAAGACCCCACAAGCCACGAGGTGTGGCCAAAACAAAAACAGAAACAAAACAAAACCATAAAAAATATGCAAAGCAGAATGAAAAATAATATGACATTTAGTTTGTATGACGGTTCTGAACCATGACCCTAGACCTGAAGGTAGCCAGCTGAACAAATCAAAGGACCAGAGAGAGTCAGGTGAAATTTGGGCTTGTGTCCTCATTTTGTGTAATTGAGTTTCTACTTCTCCAAAAGTGTTTATCCAGGTAGTATTTGCAATCGTACAAATGCCTCCTTGTTCAGCAAGTAGGAAATCGAAGGCTATGTGGTTGTCTAAAAGTATTTTAGCCAGTGAGTCAAGTGATAATTGTCGGGCTGCAGAATCAGCCAGCTCTCCTGATATTAGGGGGAGATTTCCGATCACGTTCTCATTGGCGCTTACTCCAACCCAAGGGGGTTTTGATGAGAACTGGCCAAATGGCACAGACTCGTAGCACTTGACCAATAACGTGGGATCCCCAATCACTATGAAGTTCAAGAAGCGTTCCTCTCCAATGGGATCTTAGCCACAGGGGAGGCAGTGGCTTGTCTACGTGGAAAAGCTTCAGTCCACTGAGGAAACATGCACATCATTACCAGGAATTATTTATACCCATGAGATGGTGGGCAGCTCTGTGAAACCCACTTGCCAAACCTCGAATGGTCCATCAGGCAATTTGGAGCGCCTGGGAGGGAGCATTTGTGGACAGTTTTTCTGGATTTTATTTTGGGAATGTGACACCAACCCTGGATCCAACAGCTTCCCACAAAATGCTGCATGATATTTGATATCATCGGGCTTCCCTGGTGGCGCAGTGGTTAAGAATCCGCCTGCCAATGCAGGGGACACGGGTTTGAGCCCTGGTCCGGGAAGATCCCACATGCCGCGGAGCAACTAAGCCCGTGCACCATAACTACTGAGCCTGCAGTCTGGAGCCTACGAGCCACAACTGCTGAACCTGCGTGCTGCAACTACTGAAGCCTCCAAGCCTAGATAGAGCCTGTGCTCTGCGACAAGAGAAGCTACTGCAGCGAGAAGCCCTTGCACCACAACGAAGAGTAGCCCCTGCTCGCCGCAACCAGAGAAAGCCCGCGCGCAGCAATGAAGACCCAATGCAGCCCAAAATAAAACAAATTAAAAATTTTTTTTAAAAGTTTGATATCATCTGCTGAGAATTCATTACTTGGAAAAGCAACATTGAAGCCTGCACACTGGTATTAAAATTCACAATATGCAACACTTTAAACAGCAATGTCAACCAGTTCCCTCACTTTATTACCACCAGTCTGGTGTAAGGGCATGATATGTTCACTCCTGTTGGAAGAGCACTAAGTCCTGTGGATTCCTGTCTTTTTTCATGACTTGCTAAGGTTTATTGGAAACTCCACTATTGGAATTGTGCTCCGAGGCACGGGCTGTTCATTAGTAATGGGCTTGAGCACTGAGAGTGTAGCTCCAGTATAGAAATTCATTCCCAGTCTGGAGAGTTGTTTCTCTGAGCTGATTAAGAGGGAGGCTTGGAAAAGCTCCAGATTCCTTGGAGTCCCATCACTGGGAAGTGGGAGGACATTGGAAAGATGAGTTGACTGAAGATGCCTGGAGCGTTTTGGTTTCTAGAAGTCTTTCTTCCAATATCCTGGCTTCTTACAGTAATGACGGAGGCTGGGAGGACTTTGCTTAGGGAACTCCATCTGTTGAAGTTGGATATTAAGGATTTTAATGGTTTTTCTCTTAGTAGAATCATCTAGGGTGCAGGTTTGCCAAATTAAGTCTGGAGAGGACATAGTTTCCCATTCTATTGTAGTTCTCTTAACCAAGAAAGTCCTGGTTTAGCCCATTAATGAACATAGAGTTGAAGGCTACCCCAGTGGATTCGACATCCATAGGGAGAGTACTGAAAAATAATTTGGAATCGATGTGTGATAGTGTGCTTTATGTATAAATGGAGATGTGGTCTTCATCCCCATTTCTGGCACAGAGCTTAAAACCCTTGGAATTTTCTTACTAGAGCAACAAAGGTGTCTCTTGTGAGGTGAATGAATTGGCTTTTGGAGCTCACCAAATGATGGGGGCTGGCTGCCAGGAGAAACAACCTTGTGATTAGAGTGTTAGAACCTTTCACTTCCAATTACCCCCTACTACCCAACCTCGGGGGAGGGGAGAGGGCCTAGAAGTTGAATTAATGATTCCATCAATTACAAAACCCAAAGGACAGGGTTTAGAGAGCTTCCAGGTTGGTGAACATATGGAGATATGGGGAGAGTGGTGCACTGGAAAGGGCATGAGAGCTCTGCCCTTTCCCCATACCTTGCGCTATGCATCTTCCATCTGGCTGAGTCATTTTCTTCTATAACAAACCGGTGATCTAGTAAGTAAACTGTCTCTGAGTCGCTCTAGCAAATTAATTGAACCTGAGGAGAGGGTCCTGGGAACCTCTGATTTATAGCTGGTCGGTCAAAAACAGAGGTAACAACTCAGGCTTGTGATTGGCCTCTGAAGGAGGTGGGGGGCAGTTTTACAGTTTTGTAAGACTGAGCTCTTAACCTGTGGAATCTGTATCTCGGGGTGGATTGTGTCAGAATTGAGTTGAGGCTCCAGAAGGACCGTCCTGCAGGGTTGCGACCCCATCGGGCACTCGGCTAAACAAGTCTCCCTAGTGGGGAAAACTGTCCGCAATTTCTCACATGTTTGACATCATTACACGCTGTCAGCATTTACCCAGTGGAGGGAGGCGTGGTGCTGCCACGGACAACACAGCCAAACCGCACAATGGGAAAAGGACCCCAGACCACCAGGAGAATCGTGTCCTGTGGGAGTCCTGAAAGTGCAAAAACTTGCCTGAGAAAAATGGGATTGGTAAAACTAATCAACAGAAAAACTGGTCATGCTACCAAGTTCTAGCTCATACTGCTCGCCACATGACAGGCCAATAAATTGAGAGACGAGGTGTTGGGACAAGGAATAGCAACTTTTTTCAGAAAGCCAGCAGACTGAGAAGGTGGTGGACTAGCATCCCAAAGAACCATCTTCCCAAGTTAGAATTCAGGCTTCTTTTATACTGAAAGGAAAGGGGGTAAAAGTCCTGGTTCCAGCCAGACTCTGGACAGGAGTGTGACTTTCCTCCTGCACCCATTCACAGGTGCACCTGGTCAGGATGTTTCCTGTGAGCTAAAAGAATTTTAGCTTCGGGCTTCCCTGGTGGCGCAGTGGTTGAGAGTCCGCCTGCCGATGCAGGGGACACGGGTTCGTGCCCCAGTCCGGGAAGATCCCACATGCCGCGGAGTGGCTGGGCCCATGAGCCATGGCCGCTGAGCCTGCACGTCTGGAGCCTGTGCTCCGCAACGGGAGAGGACACAACAGTGAGAGGCCCGCGTACCGCCAAAAAAAAAAAAAAAGAAGAATTTTAGCTTCATGCTCATTACCTGGGAGGCAGGGTTCCCAGAGATGGGCCATTATGTGTAATTTAAGCTAATAGGCAACATCCCTTTAGTGATTAACTTGTCATAGAATACAAGGTTCTTCCCTATTACAGTCAGAACAGTAAAATTCATTCCTGACTTTAAAAAATGAAGACTCGAAGAAATAAGATGTTCTTAAAGTTTTTTAAGCCTGTGAAATTTGGCCCAGGAAGACTGATTTTAATGGAGGAAGAATGGAGGAAGAATTTTCAGTAAGTAGAAATGAAATATGAATATATGGGTATATCTCTTATCTAAACATATTACTCCCCCTGTAAATGCCACGTGGAACACCGCAGATGGAGCCACTGGTATGCTTTGTATGCAAGCCAGTGGGACTGGCTTTATGATGACTGGGATATTCAGCTGCTGAATATGCCTGTTACCCAGGTCACGGTAAACGCTGTGATTAAGGGGGCCCCTTTCACTTGGGCACCCTCTGACTGCAAAATCGAAAAACAATTTGGGGAGCCTTAGGGGATTTGCTGTCTCAGCTTGCGCTGAAGGGTATTGCAGAGAACAGTATGTTAGCTAACGAGAGAATGGAGAGAGGCCCAGGGCGGAGTGAAGGGGCTCTTCCCAACAAGGTGGAAATTTTTAAAGGGTTATGAGAAGATGAATAGAGCAAATATTGAAAGAGACAGAAAAAAGGAATCAGGAAGGGATGAGCAGGATAGCAGTCATTAGATGGTTGCTTATTGTTGTTGGAGTATAGTTGATTGACAATGTGTTAATCTCTGCTGTATAGCACAGTGATTGTTATACATATATACACACACATTCTTTTTCATATTCTTTTCCATTATGGTTTATCACAGGATATTGAATATAGTTCCCTGTGCTTATACAGTAAAACCTTGTTTATCCATCCTATATATAATAGTTTGCACCTGCTAACCCCAAACTTCCCCCTTCCCCCACCCCTCTTTACATGGTTATTAAGAAATGGGATGGGGGGCTTCCCTGGTGGCGCAGTGGTTGAGAGTCCGCCTGCCGATGCAGGGGACACGGGTTCGTGCCCCGGCCCGGGAAGATCCTATATGCAGCGGAGCGGCTGGACCCGTGAGCCGTGGCTGCTGAGCCTGCGTGTTTGGGGCCTGTGCTCTGCAACGGGAGAGGCTGCAATAGTGAGAGGCCCGCGTACCGCAAAAAA